AACGGTGGTCTCTTTGGCCAGGATAGAACTACTTATGGGACTTGAACTCTGTCCTGATGTTGAAACGAAGGCAGTGTCGCATGCTGGGGTTTCTTGTCTCTGGCTTGAGGAACTGTTCACACCTCTCATGCTGTGCCCAGAGCAGTCCCCTGACAGTGACAGCGAAGTGAACCCATTCCAACCCTCATGTTTGCACGCACAGCACCACTCACTCCTTGACACACTGATTACCTCTAGAGTTCCCAAGCCAAATGCAGTTTAGGGGCAACCAGGAAAGTGCAGGAAAAAAGTCAGCAGTGTTCTCTTTGGAAAGAGCACTCACCAGGTTGGCTTTCACTGCCCGACTGCTGCCGCAACCCTAGAGTCCGGAGACAAGCCTCCCGCCCTCCAGATAGTGTCCCTGGCCTTGGAAATGGGTTACAGTGGAGTGTCCTGGATCAGGGTCACTCCATGTACCATCCCCACTAATCACCATCGCAGACCCTCCCTTCTTCATTGGGGCACAGTCACCTGGAGGAGTTTCACAGGCTTTTACATTTTATATCCTTTCAATTTACAGATAAGGAAACTAGGAGCCAGTGAGGCTACGTGACTTGCCTGGGGTCACCTGTTAGCATACCCTTCTTTCTATTAAGGACATGTGAATTATTGATTACCTTTAAGATTTCCCATGATGGCAGTAGAAAATGTGCTTTTTAAAAAAAATCCTCACCTGAGAATGTTTTTAATTGATTTTAGAGAGGAAGGGAAGGGAGGGAGCGAGAGAAACATCGACTGGTTGACCCCTCCCCTGTACATGCACACCCGGGATCGAACCCACAACCTCTTGGCGTATGGGATAACACTCCAACCAACTGAGCCACCTGGACAGGGCTAGAAAATGTGCTTTTTAAGAGAATTACTGAAACATGGTAGTGATTTGCCTTATAGAAAAAGTGCCACTACTATCATTTCGTTTTTATTTCTAGACCACACATTTTATATTTCCTAGTTTCCAGGTAAATTTTTTCTCTCATCATTTTCCACTTATTATTAACATGTTCATTGGATGCCAGTATTCTGGAAGATGCTGTTGTACCAAATCAGACACAAATTATACTGATACAGCCAAGTCTAAGTCCAAGTGCATTGATGAAAAGGAAATACATACATAGTTGGAGTGGGCATTCTAACTAGTGTGTAGAAAGTCAACCCAATACTTGCCCATCTGACTCACAGTTGTATAATTAATTTTAGATGAACCCAAATAGATCTAGTAAATTCACCAACAGATGCCTACTAAAATTAAGAACTTCCATGAATTTGGGGGGAAAGAGTAAGATTGTAACTATAGTAATGGTGTATTTTACAAAGGGCATCTCTCTTCAGGTTAAAAATAGTAGAAGGCTGAGACAATTAGATGGAAAATTCAGACATAGCTTACTTCTGAAGTAAATTGCTTACTTTTGTTTAGAATCCTCATACTGGCCGAAGCCAAACTAAGTGCCCCACTCATTTGGACATTTGAGATTTTATACCCCTGAGTTGGGCTGTACAAAAAAAATACCCCCTCAGGTTTCAAGGCTGCCCCACCTGGATGGTAAGCTGTTAGACCACACCCTGGAGGAGGTTTCCAGTCTCCCCCTTCCTCACTCTTGGGGGGTCGCTAACTGTTGGTTAATTCTTGTTTGCCATGTCTCCCACATCTTCCCCTTCATCTTAGCGATCTATCCTGGCTATGCTCATGTCTATCTAGCCACCGACTCTAACAGTGACATTCCCTTGTTAATGGTTTGCGGACACAATAACCTGCTATATGACAAGGGTATGGGGAGGTGGAATGGAAACTCCAGTTATTGAAAATATATGATCATTTTAAGAACAATTATCAATACAAATACAGTCACAGGACTTTCAAACAGGCCTCCTTTTAGCCCCCTTTGTTTGGTTCTCAGTCTGGAATTTTTCTCAGGGATCAGTGTGTAGAAAGTCAACCCAATACTTGCCCATCTGACTCAAAGTTGTATAATTAATTTAGATGAACCCAAATAGATCTAGTAAAGTCACCAACAGATGCCTATTAAAATTAAGAACTTTCTTTAGATTTTCCATGAATTTGGGGGGAAAGAGTAAGATTATAACTTTACAGTAATGGTGTATTTTACAAAGGGCATCTCTCTTCAGGTTAAAAATAGTAGAAGGCTGAGACAATTAGATGGAAAATTCAGGCATAGTAAGCTTACTTCTGAAGTAAATTGCTCACTTTTGTTTAGAATCCTCATACTGACAGGCTTCCCATTATCTAATTTTCTGGATAGCTGCTTTAGTCTAAGTCATATTTAGCCTCTATAAGCATGGTTATAGAGAGAGAAACCAACAAATGCCTGCAGATGCCTAAAAACATTTTTAGGTAGCACTTTTAAAGTTTCAAAGGTTACTTCAACAATCTCTTTAACTGCAGCAGCCCAGCTAGCTGAAGATTTTGAAACTCAGTGGAAAGTTCTTGTTTGTTTCTGTTCTTGTGGCCAGTGCAAGTCTGTATTGCTGTGCTCTTAGCTGGGAGACCCAACCCATGTTCTGCAGGATGGAAAATGACAATGTGATTGGATTGGGATCTCTCCACAAAGTAATCACTTCAACAAGAAAATGCATTGTCTATATATTTACAAGGGTTAGAGCCCAAGGTAGTGTAGGAAGGGAGCGATACATCAAAACCTCAGCTGACGAAAACTGTGAAGTGTTCATGTGGACTGGCCAAGATTAACCGGTACTGCCAGAACACCCTCGCCCATATGATGTACATGTTAACAGCCTGATGGCATGATGATAGAAAGACACATAAAACAGCTATTTTTCCTGGCATAGAGCCCTCCCCTAAACCTGGAGATATTTAAATAACTCATCTCAGCCAAGATCCTGGCTATGTGTAGGAATTAAAAGAAGCCACTGAAATGTGTAATAGATTCCTTCTGCATGTGGTGCTCTTCCAGCTGGCCTCTGGGGTTGAAAATGTTGCATCTAACCCATGCAATCTTAAGATGGAAAAAGGTAAAATTGGGAGATAATAAAATAGCAGGGCTTTGTCTTATTAGCTTGTAGGACATTTGCACAAAAACGAATGCAATTGTGGAGGGATAGAAATCCATTTGTCATGTCAAGAAAAATTAATCTTTAAAAGTATACATATATTTCCAAAGATTTCTAAAGAAATGAGAACCAGCCTAATACTATAACACTGCTCTTGAGCCCATGGTCAATGTTGCCCCTTCCTCTTACCCATATACTTTCTCACCTAAAATGTAACAGCTGACTGCTGTCTGGTTTATGTTTTACTTAACTCTTGTCAGTGATTTCACCTCCTTAATGTTATACTGAACAGGAACCATGAGAAGCAAATAAGGGCACCTCAGAGCTTCTTCAGTAGGGGATCAGATTCTCCAGAACAGGAAAAACTGGTGAATGAGTGAATGGACTGTTGCTTTCACCATGCCTATAAGTACATGTTTATGTCTCTTGGTAACGGGTCACCCTTTTGAACAAGTAATCATTTAAAGTTTAATTTTAATCTACACATCAGAGCCAAAGATAAGGAATCGCTTAGGCTATTCTTTCAGCCTCTCTCCCTCTTTGATTTTCAAGATAAAGCAAATTAATTAATGTGCACTTTTCAACTGAAAAAAATGATTAACACCCAGCTGTGTCTGTAAAATTATAAGTTGCAATGCAACACTCAACTTGTTAATGCTTTTCTTGGCATGAAAAAGAGAGACATAGGTATCTTATATTAAGTAGTGTTCTAAAAAGCATAAGTTAGCAGTTTGTTACTAAGTTTGACCTTTCTACACACAAATCTTAAATGATTGATGGGCTAATGTAAAATAGCTTTGTTCAAAAGAGATCATCTTTGGCAGGCTACTTCTAAGGCTTTATTACTCTGGAGAGATGAAAAGATATCCTCATTTTACATTAATTTTCCCGATAGATCAACACTTATTTGAAATATGCCTCAGAATCATGCAATATTTACTGTTTTAATAGTCTTCTTTCACTGTATCCAGCTGCTCTACATTGAATGGTTTTTACTTCTAAGATTTAGGAGAATTTTTCTATTCATAAAGAGAATCTTTAGGAAAATACAGATGGGTAGAACAGTAGATCTGGCATTTTATGTACTACTATTTCATTGCGAGGTAGTATGTCAGACTAAAATATACAGAGATATGCTTTTTTTTTTTTTTTTAAATCAACAACACCATTTCAGGAGGTGATTTGGGATTCTCCCTACAGTATTCTTCAGAGCCTGACAAGAGCCATTTACTTCTTTTTAATCACAGATTATGTAATTTTATGTATATCTAAGGTCAGTGTAGAATTATATAAACCGGGGGTGAAACTCTCAACTAAAGGGTCAAACAGATAATGGAAATAGTGAATGGGACCAGTTATAGGTGTGTGTGTGTGTGTGTGTGTTGGGGGTAGGGGTGTGATGCCTGAGAGGAACTATCATTTAGGTCAATATGAAAGATATTCTGATGAAGAAGGTTAGAAATCTCCTAATTTTTCAATATTGGCAATTCCAAATTTTTGGAAGATCTTGGCCTCGCTGAACAAAACATGTCTGAGGGATGGTATGCTGCTGTAAACCTGCTGAGAAGAAAAAAAGAATTTACCTTAAGAAAAAAAGGTTTCTTCAGTTGTCCACACTTGGGGGGTGCAGTTTCATAACTGTGAACCAGGCACCTATAATGGCCCATTATAGGCTCAGGACAAAGGAACTAAGGCTCTATGTCACATGCTTGGGAGAAGCTTTGCGAAAGGGCTCAGGTGCCTGGGGAAGGGGGGTGCAGTGGGTGATGGATGGACACAGGTTCCTTATGTAAAACACAATGATCAGTGAATTCATAATGGAAAAGACATGAAACAGAGACCTCTTTCCTCTTAAAAAGGCCATTTCATTTTATGGAGTTGAATAAAGCTGACTTGCAAAAAAAAAACAAAAAACCTTCTTTGCTCTTTGGCAGGGTGAACTAGAGAAGTCAAGTCTCCCCGCTGAACTACTATGAGGCCAGAAGCCTTGCTGCTATATTTCACACTGCTACACTTCGCTGGGGCTGGTTTCCCAGAAGATTCTGAGCCAATCAGTATTTCGCATGGCAACTGTAAGTACCCGCAACCCCACTCTGTCCCTTTGCGGACCCTGTAGCCTGCATCATGTAGTAAAACATGAAAATTAAACGTTTAATAGAATAGGAGAATTGTTAGTCCCTCTTAACTTGTGTAGGTGACCAAGTTAATTCTAGTCTAGTCATACTGTGGGATGCCTGTTCTGTAACCCCATGAAGTCCTGTTGTGGGACAAATATGTGGAAGGATTTAAATGTTCCTCAATACTTTCAATGAAATTTCAGTTACTACATGGAGGCTGCGGGAGGATATCACTATCCCTTTGGTATTACCAGTATTGCACATTTTCATATGTAATTAATATAAGAATATTGCTACAGGATAAGGGCAGAAAGTAGTAAGACTGTTTTGGGGTACTTTAGAGACAAAAATTAACTTTTTTTAGACTTCGAAGTTATATCATTGCTAGATTTGGGTAGAGTGAACTGTAACCCAGGGGGCCTATTTTAAAGTTTAGATAACTTTCCTTTGGTCTGCTTCATCGGCAAGGGTAGAAAGCAACAAGATTAAGAATTCAGTAGACCCTCAAATGAAGACAGTTTGCCTGTGTGTTGGATGGGACGGCCAATTTACTACTTCTTTTCCTTCCCTCCAAAAGACAAAATATCTTATCCCAGTAAAGGCAAAAGAGAGCTTTCCCCCCAAATATCTATTTTCCCAGTAATTATCCCAAAATAAACACGGGATGAGCCATACCAAAGGTGTTGATCGCTAATGTGAAATACTAGCAGGATCCCTTAATGCCCAGCTTTCTGCCAGATGGTCTGGGATAAATAAAAAGATAATTTTACATGAAGGTGAGGTGGGCAAGACTGATACATAAAACAATCAGAGAGCAAAAGTCAGAGCACGATTAAGGCCAAAGTATGTAATTCACGATCATCATTCTTGAAATGGCAGAGTGCACCTCATTCAAGGTTCCAAACCTTACTAAGCATTATTTATCTCCATTTGAGATAGGTATCCAGGAGACACCAGCACACACGTGCTGCTGAAAGGCGTACTTCAGTGAGCCTCAGTCCTTGCTAGTGCCCAGATATGACACTGTTTTATTTAGCAAGCTCCTTGCTGAATGGGTGAACGAAATTTCAGAGCAGTGGAGGGAAAAGCACGAGATAACCCCATACCAAAGCTCAATTGTGAGTAAAATAACTGTGGTTCTTGAATAAGGTCCCCACTGTGAGTCATGCCCAGATACTACAGAAGTTTAAAATGAGGGGTCTGAGCATAAATCTGTGAATGGTTTCCCAGTCATTATATGCCTCCCCACCCCCCGAAAACAAGCGCCTCTTAAATGTGACTCATCTCTCTCTCCCCCTAGCTTCTCTGGAGGAATGCCTGTGCTCTGGAGTTTATAGGTTTAAAGGCAGAGAGATTTTTGAGATGTAGGTATTTCTAAAGGTCAGATATTATTACAAATGGCCCGCTGTCAACCAAAGAGAACTGTAAGAAAGGAGAAATAGGCTCATGGACTCTCCAAGTCAGGGAAATTCCAGATCACCGCACTGGCTACACTCAGTTTGACCCTGTCCTGTCAAAGCGCCCATTTCTGTGAGATCAGCCAATTGCTTAACTCAAGAGTGAACTTCCCACAGTTCCTAGAATGCCAACCAACCTAACAGGGCCGCCTTCAATGGCAGATTATTCCAACTGGACGCCTGTGGAGACGGTATTTTTCTTCTGGCTCCTGGTCGAGGGCTCTCGCCTCCAGACCACATTGCCTTTGTGGTGATTGATGGGAAGGCTGCTTTGAAATAGTTTTGTCCCGAGACAAGATCTTTGGCAGGCTGCCCTTCAGGCTTAGCACTCTAAAGAAGATGAAAAGAAAACTGGGGGAAAAAGAGCACCTTCATGTAAAGGGTTCACTTGCAAGTTTAAGCTCCAGGAAGAGGGACAAGTCAGAAATGGTGACACTGAGAAATATAAATCCAGGCTTATTATCATCTGGAAATGAAACTGTAACTTGATGATCCTTAAAGAGCACTCTTCCGTCATAATTTTTTCCTAAAATAACAGACTCACTGAAGGTGGAAAATGGTGGCATGATCTGACTTCAATATGGTTTTGTTTTGTGGACAGCCCCCCTTCTCTCCCGGCCCTGTCAATTCTTGGCTTGATTTCCTTCCCCCTTTCTTGCCCCATCTCCTCTTTTCAGATACAAAACAGTATCCGGTGTTTGTGGGCCACAAGCCAGGACGGAACAGCACGCAGAGGCACCGACTGGACATCCAGATGATCATGATCATGAACAGGACCCTCTACATCGCTGCCAGGTGAGTGGCCTGGTCCTCACCTCTGCCTTCCAAGCATCTGAAGGCCCTAAGATATAAATGTGCCCTTTATGCATCATTTCACAGATCACGACATTCCCAGACAGAGTGCTATTTAATTTAAAGACTACTTTAGTCTGTCAAGCAATCATTCTTTCAAGATTTTCTGTGTCTGACTTTATGTGGATTCAGATAGAAATAATTGCCTATTTGGAGTTTAGACTCAAGTAATCCAATGTTTCTCTTAAACATATATGCAAATATTTCCTCAAGCACCCAACAGAGTGCCTTTCTCCTTGATATTTCTTTGTTAAATAAAGTTGAATGTGTTATAAACATATATTATTATATAATGTGTGTGTATTAAACCTGTTTGTATTTCTGCAGTGAGTATATAGTATATATCATTACTTTAACAGACTGGCAATAGCACCCAGAGAGTGTTTGATTTGGATCTAGTAAGAAAATACTCGTCCACTGGGGAAATGTCATTTAAACACACCATGTCTTAAGGCTGAATGGCCTGGTAAGAATACTGCCCAAACAGGTGTCACGTGGATGGGCTTTTGTTTTAATTCCGCTCTTAATTTACCTGAAATATTTCTCTGGTAATAGACTCCTCTGTCAAATGAGAGGTTGGAATAGATTATCTTAATGAAGTCTCTTGGGATTCTAACAGTGTATGATTCCCCTTTTTGGGGGGGTGTAGCTCATTGAAAATAATTCTAAATGAACATCAACAAGGAGCACCATCTTGTGGGACTCCATTGCGGTCTTACTGAGCCTAGATTGATTAATCATCTCACACGGGGAAAAAGAAATGCAGATTGTGTCTGTGGTACTTGTCTGGCTGTGAGCATAGGTAAAGAGCAGGTAAATAACAACAGTGGCCAATTCTTTTAAAGCATGTAGGTTTTCTGAAATGATAAGCTGTGCAACATAAAGTTAAAAAACAGCACAAAACCATTGGCGAGATTAAAATATCCTGCAATATCCCACATTTGGCCACAGGGAGCAATGCCAAAACACTTCTTAAAAATTCAGTTCACAAAGACTATACAGTACATACTAGTTGTATGTGCCATATAAATTGCAAATATAATTGTAAGTTCTTTGTGTTAATTCATTCGATCCTGAAAAAAATCCCTATGAGGAGATATTATTACCCCCATGTCTTATGGGAGGAAACCAAAGTACAAAGAGGTAAATGACTGGGTCAAAATGACAGCAGGATTTGGACCAGAATGGTCTTGCTTTAGAGTCTGGGTCCTTACTCCCTGTACTCTGCAGCTGAGTGGTAGAGGTGGTAATATTTGTCCTGGGAATAACCTTCTAATCGCTGTTGCCCAAGAACATAGTCATTGTATGTATTCATTAAGAAGGATTTCATTGAGGTCCCCAGTAGCCACCTCTGTGACAGAATATTAGCTCCTTCTTAAATATCATTTTTTGTTTCCTAAATGTAGCAGGGCTGGAAGACTACATTTGTATCCAATTATCTAAAGGCCTGGTCAAAACAAGTGATTAAATTATGGATCTGTGAGAAATAGGTTGACTCAGGTATCTTCTATGAATTGTTCACTTTGCCATGGAGTCTCTAGGGGGAAACTGGTTTGACAGACTGTCCTTGCACCTGATGATCTAACGGCTGCGGACCGCAGGTCCAGGGTGGCACCTGAGTTAGAAGCGCCGTGCTATACAAACAATAGTGCCCATTATTCAAGCTTGTTAAAACTAAGTTGTATTTTAATCCCTTACTCCAAGAAAAGAAGAAATGGAAGGGAAAGAAGGAGAAACACATTCAATTTTTTAAAACTATGAAACAGATTCGCCTTTTGTTAGAGGAAACATTTGTAATGCCCCAGCACTGGCACTCTGCCTGTCACTCTGCGCTCAGCCCCCTCTCTTCAGTGCACATCCTTGGAGGATTCCTGAGGGAGCTCCGCGACTGCTTTATTTAGGGTCTCTCCTCTCACTTTAATCTCACATTTCCCATCACTGCTCTGAGAGATCCAGGTTCCTAGGCAGCAAGGACCACGATTTCAAGTTAAATTCTGCCCCCAGGCTCAAGCCATGGCAACACAATTCATTGGTACTGACCGGAGTGGAGAAGAGGAAGCCCTAGGGTTGAGTCAGCTGTGTTCAAATAACTTAATTCAGTAAAAGCAGTGTATGAATCCTAGGAATAACTTCTGACCCCGGTCTGTTTCTCTTTGCTGGGCAATGTGATCTCTTGGATATTGAAAAAGATTGCCATTGTCCAAAAGGAGCTTCCATTCACAGATTGAATTTTTAAAAGGCTTCCTCCCAGTTCTTCTAGACAACGGGTGTCAGCAGTCGGAAGCACCATCCAGAACCCAGGGACTGAGTGAGGCCTGATGACAAGAACCCCTTTCAATCCTGCTTTATTATTGTCCATTTTGTAAATTCTCCCCCCCCCCCTTTAATCTCTAAATTGCTAATTAACATAAACAGGCCATGCCAGAAGGGGGCAATCCAAGAGCTTTCTGAGGAATTGCCAATGCATATTAATCAGCTGTTAATTTACAATTCATACATTCAGCTCCTACTTAGAGTTTTGAGGAGAGGCAGGGCAAGGAAAACCTGGAGTCATCGCAAAGCTGATTCCGAAGTAATAGGCAATTCCGTTCCAATAATGAGTCTGACCCACACACCGCCCATAAAGTCAAACAAGTAATAAAGGAATGCAATAAAACTGCCTTGAAATGAAAGGGCAGAGAAATTCTGGCACCCTACGAAAGTTTGAAGAACTTCCCAATTCAGCAATTTACAAAACAGGCTCCCCATTCTCCCCGTCACACATATTCACACATATTCATTCTCTCTCCCTCTCCCCCTCCCTCTCTCTCTGTCCCTCTCCCTTCACACACACCCCCCTCACAGATCCATAGCAGGCAAGGAAATCCTCTAAGCCAACTGCCTTGCCCTCTCATTTTATTTTCATACGACAGAGCCTGTTTTTACTTTCATTTTTATCTATTGTACCTTCCCTAAAAGTGGGTAGCAAACAGATTTCAAAAAAACTGGGGAGAAAACTGAAGTAAATCCTGACAGGTAATTCCTTTCTTTCCCTTTTCCTTTGTCTCTCCCCTCCCCCCCCCC